AATATCACTCACTGAATAAATTAACTACAAATGACAATAACGTGTAAATTATGCACCGTTTCTGTTTGACACCTTGATAACCGTCTTGTTGACAGGGTTTTATTGTGCCAGCTGTGAGCGGACCACCGCCGCTGTTTGTGTCCAGCTTGCTGCTGAAGCTTCAAACCGACTGTCGGTCCATATGGCTAACGCTCCGGTACAGAACCTGCTCACAGAATAAAGAGATGTGGCAGCCCTATGACAGTACTGTGCTCCACCAGGAGAAGTTTCAGGCGAATGCATAGCCACCATTTCACGGAAAATGAACATACATGGAGTGATTTGGGGGCCATGCGTTCTCTCCCACAGTGTGCAGGCAGGTACCTTCCTACAGCCAGGCGTCGCGCTGGGAAGCATCATTTCTCTTGGCACAGCCGCTGGCTGCTGATGTAGCATGGATGCTAGCTAACTAGACGCACGTTTGTGTTTGTGAGCAGGAACAACAACAACAGGCAGCCTTAGAGGGTGTTTCTGTTTCATGAATTGTCACTACCCATCTCGTAGGCAGCACACAGACGTCCCTCCACAAGTCAGAACCTGCAGACAGAAACTCCGGAGTGACTGGTAGGTGTTAGCTGACGGTTCCTTCATGAAAAGCGGGGACAGCTGACATCTTTTTCAACTCGACATTGATGTGGCGTGTTTGAAGTGCTGCATCCTTAATCCTGCGTTTTAGCTTGTAGGCACGTGAAAAAACTTCAGGCACAGCCCGTGATTCATGATGAAGGATGTGGAGCAGCTGCTCTGACCGAGGACCTGCCCAGGACCGGCACACCGCCCCGGCCGCGCTTCGTCGTGGACGGAGCAGAGCGCGTTAACCCAGGCCGCCCTCAGCCTCACGGCTCTTTCACTCCGGGACACTGAAGCAGCTTCTCTACAAGCAGGTCGTCCGAGTGAGGACTTGACGGCTCGGTGTCCACCCGTTGCCTCCTCTGGATCGTCTTGTAAACCTTTCATGTTGTGAGGCGCCTTGGACCTGCAGCCACCAGTCATGACAAGGCACTTATGCTGTGTGCCAACTCTCCAGTCAGAGGAAGTTTCACTGAAGTGAACCCAGACAGAACCTCATGTGCAGAATGTGTTAAAATGCTGGTTCACAGGTGTTCTCGCCTCAAGGACCCTGAAGCAGTCCATGATCAGTAGGCAGAGACTGCTACAGAGGACCTCACCTGAGCTTCCTGTGGATTACTGAGCATAATGTCATCTGGGACGGAGACACCTGTGACCACATCACCACATTGGGCTCATTTCTAGTCAGTGGACTTGCTTCATGAACCCCGGTGGTCCCTGGAGTCAACTTTGAGAGTCACTAGTTTACGTTGTCTCCTCAGAGCATTTAGAGAAAAGCAAAGTTTACCAAAACCTTCCCTGTTTCTGTACCAAGAGAGAACTGTGTGGCCATGCGTTGACGACTGAATAGGAAAGTCCACAGAGTCACAGAGCCATGCCTATCAGCAAAAAAGGTGAGTTACCTTATGTGCCAAACATAACGACACCTCAGCTCTCATGAACTTAGCAGACAGTGTAATCGCATAATGTGAACACGCTAGATGCTGTTACATCACTGAGAGTGCATTTGTCCACACTTTATATAAATCATCTAAACCCAAAGTTGGTTGTTGAAAAGCATGTGGACGAAACATTTAATCCTTTCCAGTTTGAACACTGCCCCAGTTGAACAAAAAAAACAATGATTTCCCCAGGATGATGTAGAAAAACCAGAGTGGTCTGCACAGAGAACCAACCTGAAGCCCATCTAACTTCTTTAAGGTGAACTGGAATACAGCCTGACCTCATCACCAACACCAGTGGTGGACCTCACAACATCTGGTGGAAAGCTGGTTCACTTTTCATATGGCTCAATTGTTGGGGTATCCATGGTGCTGCCTGGCCACAATTTTATATCACAGTCCTGTTGTGGTTAAGTGTGAACAGGGGCTGTGCTTGTGCATGGTGTGGGTACAGTTATCTAGGAACACAAGCTCAGTTTGCACCTCTCCGTTTTTACAGACCATAGTTGTAGGATTGGTGTGTTTTTTTTGTATTGTCACATCATGCTAAATGTTGTGCTTGATGGACAAATATACTGTACACATTATTATATGAAGAAAAGAAAGCAAGGAAAGCCCAGAGCTTTATCTCACACCTTCTCTGCAGACACAGCTCGAGCTTTGGGGTTTCTGGAGGAGTACTGCACTAAACTGAGGAAGCCTGAGGAGCAGCAGCTCAAAACTGCCATTCACAGAGTGATGGGGATTTTCAAAACCAACCTGTTTGAAGCTCTTCTTGGTAAGTCAATGCAGAACAACAGAACGACTTCTATTTCCTGTCAAGTTGATACTGTGGTGATTTTCTTCTAAATGTACACGTCACTGTTTTACTGGCTCTGTGATGGGACATTGCAGATTGACGGGGTGGTGTGTGAACATAATTCTTTAATGATTAGCTAATTTTTATAAACAAATGATAACCTGCGATATACAATAGGCAAGTAGCTTTTTGTTATCAATGGCTGGATAATGAATATTTTTATGGCGGATACAGAGGCTCTCACTATGACTGCAGTCCTCGTAATGGATCCTCAGTTTGATCAGTCTCGTCTTTGCACCAAACGAGTTTCTGTGCACATCCTGCTTCAGTAGCACGAACATGCAGCCAGAGTTGGAGGCTGCTGAAAGCTTGCTGTGTTTAATTATTGCCATATAAAATGTAGTTGTACCAAACAGAGCCATGGAGTGTGTTGGTCCTTTTATTCATTTGTATGTTTTTGTAATTTATGTAACAATGATCAACAATAAGACAGGTCCGAAGAACACAACAGTGAAACAGAAAGCAGCCTAATATGATGGTTTGTAGCATCATTAAACCATGATTACACTGAATTACATTACAGACTCTTCAAATAATTTAAATACATCTGCCCCACTGTTCACATGTGCACGCCTTCCTCTCTCTCACCCGTAACTGCACGGTCTCTTTTGAGTGTTTCTCTGAAGTGATGAGAGTTTCAAACTTTGCTTAAGCAGCAGTATTTTCTGTTTTATAATTAAAAAAAAAAAAAAAAAAAAGTAAAAATATATCTAAAACCAAGTCACTACATCTTAATCCAATATAATACACATGGCCTGTAAATGACGATTGCATTACTACAGCAGTGGTGATGAAAACTACATTCATATTATTTTACACTGACAGTACCACTCTGAAGCTCATTGTTTAATCTATCATCTTAAATCTTTCAGTACACATCAACAGCTGTCACTGTATGAAGCAAAAACTACAGTATTCTACTACTTCATAATAATTACATGCAGAAAACCAAAATCAAAGCCTTATCTACATTTTTTATATCTACAATTTTGTTGTTTCAGTTTGTTATTTGCCAAATAAATAGAAATGCTTTTTTTTTTTTTTTTTTTTTGTTTTTTTTTTTTTTTTTTTTAGTTTTGAACAAGTTCTTGAAAGATTTCTATATGTGTATATATAAGTAAATTTACAGACTGAAAGTACATTTTACAAATCCCCCCTACCTAAGCCACAGTGCAGTCGGTTCTTTTGATTTACAATGTGACTTTTAATTGTGAAGGGATCAATGATTTCATCTTTCTCCATCTTGGATGTAAATTTGGATTCAACATTGATAGCTCTACTCATGAGTTACACTCTTAGCCAAGTGTTGTAGTTATTTTTATATCAGAGTTGTATAATGCCAGGTGAAGCTTGTCCTCTGCTTCACAGAAATGTATAAATCCTTTTTCCTTGACCCTTGTTTTCAGTAAAAAAGTTGAATCTCAGGTTTCAGTACATGAGATTTTTCTAACTTACGCTATACTCTTAGCA